TCTCTCTCTCTCTCTCTCTCTCTCTCTCTATATATATATATATATATCTCTCTCTCTCCATAGCTCTCTCTCTCTATATCTATCTCTCTCTATATCTATCTCTATATCTCTCTCTATATCTCTCTCTATATCTATCTATCATTAAGCAACAGGCTTCTCTCACATAAACCCTATGTAAGTCAGCAGATGATAACACATGATCATTTCTGTTCTGCAAACCAAAGTGAAATGCCTGAGGCTCCGGCTGCTCGTCGTAAAGTCATTTGACTCTTTTTAGTTATCAGAGATGTGTAAAATAGTCCCACTTTTAAATAAACAGCTTGACAGATTGCTTACTCTACCTGACAATCTATATTAAATTCCTTGATGTGTGGATGTAGAAGATGAATTGAGATGTGATACCCCCCTCATTACCCACAAGTGATGTTAAATGTTTTTATCATCGTAATAAGATATTGTTTTTGATGTTGTGCAAATAACTATTTTTACACAAGTGCTGACAGGAACTTATATTTAAACACGTATTAACGGTTGTTTTCTGCCCCGTTAGAGCAGGGTAATTGCTTCGAGGTGTTAGCTTCATTATCACCTCCATGCTAACAGCAGCAAGATGTTTGAGCCGCAACTGTGATTTCCCACACACACAAATCAGTGGAAGATGAAGGTCTCAAAACTAATCACACCTCTCCTCACTCACCCCCATGTGGGAGGCCATGCTAACCCGCTACCTACCGCTCTTTTGTAGCGTCGAAGGCTCATTATCTTAATGTCATTTGATACTGAGTGATAGCCCGCCTCGCTGAAAAGGTCCCGGAGATAACGGCCCGCGATTTCATTTATCTTTTGACATCTCCCTCTGACAACATGTGAGATATGTCACCTGTGGAGAAAACACCTTTTCTGACACCGACGCAGTTAGCTTCTCACTCCACAGAGGATGACATTAACCCTTTGTTTTATAATCAGCATTATGCAAACAGATTTACGGTCTGCTGATCTGTGTAGTTTCCCTAATATACAAACTATACTTCAGTAAGGGAAGGTTGAAGGAATACTTAACCCTCAAAATGATCAGTTGTGGATTGATAACTCTAATAACTTGTTTTTCTGCATTTATAGGGAAGAAAGAATCAAATAAGTGAGAGAAATGTGTTCAATTGAAGTACAAAGTAATATTTTTCATAGTTATATGCTCAGTACTTCCAAAACACCTGCATATTTGCTCCAATCTTAATATTAGAAAGTCTCACGCTTTCACAGGCACAGTATTCGTCTGTGCACTTACTTTGTATATTTTAACAAAATGACCAGTGGTGGATCGATTACTCGACAGGTGGAACTTTTTTTACTTGTTTTACTAGATTTATAGTGAATAAAGAATCTAAAAAGTGAGAAAAATCGGTTCAATTCAAGTAAAAAAAGTCATTTTACTCATCATATAAAAAAAACCTGCATATTTGCTCCAATCCTAATATTCAACGGTCTCACAGGCACAGTTGTTGTCCGTGCACTTACTTATTTTAATAACGTCTTTCCTACGTCTTTGCAGGCGTGCATGAATAATAAATGTCTCTTGGTAACACAGGTTGAAGGCTTGATGTATAAATAAGTCATTCTGGGTGGAAATATCGCTTTATGGTGGTTATGAGGTTTTCTCACAACATTTCACACAATTACTTTTAAGTTTGACACACATTTGATACGGGGTTGCACAGATCTTGTTCTCTTGTTAAGTTGCACAATGTGTCAGTCATGTGTTGTGCAACCTGTGTAGTTATGGATATAAAAAAGCCTTTTAACTTGATATGTGACACACGGCCTCTGGTTAACAGCTTCGAGGCATTAATCATCGTAGAGTGCTCCAAAAGCAAATCACACACTGACAGTAATTGCAGGGATGCCTCCCGGGCATAAAAACAACCACACATATACTTATATAAACACACACACACACACACACACACACACACACACACACACACACACACACGCTGAACAATGACCTGTATTGTTGGTGGTAATTACACTCTTTTGTTGATTCCCTGACTTAATGAAATCCAATGCTATTAGTTTGTAGTTGTTTTTGATTTCTTGCGTACACAATTTTGATAATTTAACTTCTAAAATGACTCAGATTTGATTGACAGGTCCCTGCTGCCTGACACACAGTTACTACACGTGATTTATTTAACGCTAACGACCACCATAAGGCTGGAAAAGGTGAGACTTGCAGTCATGAATCGGGGCTTAATGACCCTCAGTGTCCAGCGGCAGGTAATGAGTTATGGAGATGAGCGTAGCGACTGGGGAATGTTGTCCTGTCTGTCTACCCCTCAACACCACACACACACACACACACACACACACACACACACACACACACACCCAGCATGAGCACCTTCCTCTCATCTGGATGTTAACGCTTTCTCAGGCCTCAAACTGCAGACTTTCTGAAACACTCACAACAACAGTTAGTCGGGGGTTAACACCAGTTACGACGGAGGTGTCACACACTCCTGCCGTTTAAGTAAACACCCTGTGTGGTGTGTGGTGTGTGTGTGTGTGTGTTGTGTGTGTGTGTGTGTGTGTGTGTGTGTGTGTGTGTGTGTGTGTGTGTGTGTGTGTGTGTGTGTGTGTGTGTGTGTGGTGTGTGTGTGTGTGTGTGTGTGTTGTGTGTGGGTGTGTGTGTGTGTGTGTGTGTGTGTGGGTGCGGTTGTGTAGTTGATTTCTCCTGCCAATCCGACCCCATTACTTTGCATTGAAAGGAGATGCAGCGCAGGATTAAAACCACACTACTTTAAATATGTGGGGAATAAATTCGAGCATCTCGTGAAACAGGAGAGGAAATGCATGTTCCTTAAACACGTCTTAACAAATATCTTCTTGTTCAAAGGCCTGCAGGGATTCAGCGAGCATTTATCTGCAATGTGATCTAGTGATAAGACAAATGACACGACACTGCTCCCTCAGCTGTTGTTTTTAACGTGGATTTAACCGATGGATCGACCCCTTTTTGAAGCAACGTGTAATTGGTTGTGGGTTCACAGAGTAATGTGCTGCCACTTGCCCTTAAAGCAGCTCCAAGCCAAGAACATGTCCTGTTGTTTTTAGGGATTAAATAAAAATAAATATGACATTTTAATTAATAAGCTTCAGAGGTGCTGGAAGGGAGACTTGGTTTCTTTTTGAACGAAGCTAGGTTAGACTTGGCTGAAGCTACATATTTCCCGAACAGATGTGAGAATGAGGCAAAATAGGAATACAACTATCTCCTTAACACAAAGATAAACCCCTTCACTTCAATTAATCCAGACAGTTTTATTCTCAGAAAGCATGCAAGAAGAGCAACGTTTGTTCATGGAGCAACACGGGGGATAATTGTTCAACAAATTACCTTTTTTTATAAAGGATTCCTGAAATATCTCCCTCTGTGCTTTTCAGAATGATATTGATGTTCTTCTCCCTGAAGAGGCTTCAGAGCGTCTGCACTGCTTTTGGTTATCTGCTCTCAGCCAAAGGAAAACAATCCATTTCAAATCCATATGAAACTCATCTGGCAACGTTATGAACATTGAAGTACTCAGATCATGCACTTGAGTAAAAGTAGAAGTACTCAGATCTTATACTTGAGTAAAAGTAGAAGTACTCAGATCTTGTACTTGAGTAAAAGTAGAAGTACTCGGATCCTTTACTTGAGTAAAAGTAGAAGTACTCAGATCTTATACTTGAGTAAAAGTAGAAGTACTCAGATCTTGTACTTGAGTAAAAGTAGAAGTACTCAGATCTTGTACTTGAGTAAAAGTAGAAGTACTCAGATCTTGTACTTGAGTAAAAGTAGAAGTACTCAGATCTTGTACTTGAATAAGTAGAAGTACTCAGATCTTGTACTTGAGTAAAAGTAGAAGTACT